CTCCCGTCCTCCCACCCCCTCTCCCGTGTCCTGCTTTCCAATCGTAGAAAGAAAATTGGAAAGGTAAGGAAGGAACAGAAATCCATTTTGTTAGTATGTTTACGCAATCCTCAAGTTTGTCATTTTATTGCTTGTTTTGCTAACCAAAACCAGCCGTTATTTTATATGGCTAAAGTTTGGAAATCAATAATGCAGGTTTTTCTTTTTTAGTTCATCTTGGATGGATAACTTTTAACTAAGGTTGGTTAATTGTATGCATTTAACGGAGTATTACTTTAATAGTGTTCTACTGAATTATTTATCAGCTGGGGACCTTTTACTAGCAAATTAACGTGTTATCACCACAACGTACTAGCAAATTAACATGTTATTACCACAACGTACTAGCAAATTAACATGTTATTACCACAACGTACTAGCAAATTAACGTGTTATATTGGTTAGGTTGTCTAATTGATACATCTGCAATTTAATTAGGATAAGTGAGTATTTCTTTGCAGATATTAATACTTGGAAAAACTAAATAGATTTTAGAATCTCAGTAGTATGCTCGGGAATAAATCATCCAAATATAGCTATCAGGAAAGAGAATTAGAATCAGGGAATCCTGAATTCAGGAATTGTAAATTTCATGGAGGTTATTGGAATTCATGAATTTGCAGATGAGATCTAGAAAAGAAAAGAAAAAGCAATGAAGCAATAGATTTGCACAATTGTGATCCAGTCTCCAGTAGTTATTAGCAACTAAAGCGGGAAATAGACGGAGCAAAGGGCCAATTTTCAGAACATGACAATGGCCAACAATTTGGAAATGTTTCGAAGAATGGCTATGTTGAAAAACAGTAAACTGGGCGGATTGTTTCAATAAGATAGACGACCACCGAAGAATATCTCTTCGTTTATTGATCATGTAAATTAATTTAAATTACAAAGCAACCGTTGTAAACAAATAACGTCATATCACTATTATGGTGATATTGATCAACTTGCAAATGAATATATCGATTGATTTGTAAGTAAATTTATCGATTTTTTAAGTGTAATGCACCTCGCAGAGTTCGATTTTATCATTTATTAAAAATATTTTATAAATTCTGAAATTTAAGACTAATTTATAAATTCATTCTCAAACACATTTGCTAAATATACATCTTCTATGGCAGCAGGCCTTCCGTTGTTTGATTACTTGTTTTGAAAAATGTGGAAAATATTCTCCAATTTCAAATATTACATCGCATTCAACCAATAATAACTTTTGTTTGAACTTTTGTTTACACTCATTTCGATTATTTTCATGATTTGAAAAAAAAAAAAAAAGCAATAACAGGTAGAATGTATGGTTTCTTTGCATTTTTTAACTTTATGCAATAAGGTTATCAGGCTATTCATATTGATGATAAGATAAAATCTGAATATATTGACCATTGACCACATGAAGTAAACATTTGTATCCAATGAAATTAATATAAGTGACCGTTTTAAATGAATTCTGTATTCTTACAGTTATACAAAAGTGCGAGACCTAAGTGAGTAATTACTGAAACTTTTATATTCAATAAATATTTTTTCGAAATTAAAAAATAACGACTAAAATATGTAACAAAACAAAATCTTAAGTTAATATGCAATAAAACCAAAGAACAAAGATTAATGGATCAAACTCAGATAGTCTAGAGAAAAACTTTCTGCTAATGAAAATGGGGAACTTTTAAATCATTCAATTTAGTGCATTTTAACCATGGAATATTCTATACGGTTCTTAGTCATGTATTAAAATTCCTTACTAGGAGTTATTTCATGTACTACAAGTTTATCGAAATTCTATAATTTTCGTAAAATGTTGAAATCATATTTGTCTATATTGGAATATTTAAAATTTGAAGAATTAAAACATATCAGAATTTGAGAAAAAAGATTTTTGTTCCAGTTATACAACAATGAATAATCAGAAATGTCACTTTTGCGAAATCCTTGTCTCTTAATTGTAATCATTCACTGATAAGAAAAGCATCACACTGCAGTAAACGATAATTATGTGTGTTCGAAAGCTAATTTGTTTTGAAATTCGCTTCTTTTCCCCTAATTAACTGGAATTTTTTGCTTACTTAATCCAGATTGTTTAGCAATTTAATTCAAATTATTTGGTTGTTTAATTAAAATTGCTTCGTTGCCTACTTGGAATTGTTTAATTGCTTAATTCGAATTGTTTAATTATCTAATTCAAAGTGCTTAGCAGCTTAAATGGAATTTTTTAGTCACTTCATCCAAATCATTTAATTACTTAATCCAAATTGTTTATTTGTCTAATCCGAATTGTTTACTTGCCTAATTGGAATTACTATAATAATGACGAGAAATTGTAGCAAAAGCCAGATGCAAAAGAAATATATGAATAGTAAGCACTGATCAAAGAAGTTCTTAATCAGCAAAAGTTTTGTATATTTTCATAAATATACAAGTCAAATGATGTCTTGTATGAATTTAACGTCTTGCAACGTACGCTGCACTCACTTACACGTTGTTACTGACATTATCATCTAATACCTTCAAGTGTACGAGTTGAGCAATAATTTGAAACTTATATGAAAGTTAATTACGGAGTGTGCATTACACAAAATAGAAAATGTTCTGCATGCCTATAACCCAAAAATGTCTCAATTAATTAATAATTTGCAGACTTCATAGTAATTAATACGGTTGAACCAAATGGTTAAAATTACCGAGAAATTAATTAGCCACCAGTGATCTGCGGCTTATGATTAAATAAAAGCTTAGATGATCAATATCATGAATGTCGTTTGGAAACGATGAAAACATAAAAAGTCACGTTAAGACAGGATGTGCAATATTAATTAGATATTTTGATTGTCAAATAACCAGTCTTTATCCTTGCAAAGTAATTTCAATAATTCTTTTAAATTCGAATTTAAAATTGAGTATTTTTTGGCAATAAATTTAAAAAAGTTGATTGTTTGATATGAGCTTTAACTAGAATTCTCTCAGCTTCCTACAATCATCGCCTATCAGTTCCATTACTATTATTTGATGCGGTGCAAGACTGAATAAGCTTTTAAAATTGATAATTCAAATTTAGACCATTCAATCGTGTTCTTTGGTAGTTCATTTCAATAAGCTTACCAAGCTGAGCTACTATGACTAGCATTTTTTGACAAGATTGTATTCAACAGGCTATATTTAAGTTTATTACGTAAAAAAGTTTTCATATGTAAATACAAAGAGATAAGCAATATTGTTTATGAACTAATAATTCGATTAAAATGAGATCAGCGGAAAAATGAAAAAATAAATTTGAATATTTTAGTGATATGTTTATTGTTGTTTGTTCGGTTGCCGTGTTATTTTGAAATTGAAGTTGTTGTTGTTACCATATACAACTATGATGGGCCAGCATCTTCCTGTCTTGAACTTTTTTTCGATGCACGACGTTTACTCTCTGTCAAATAACCGCCTTTTATACGATCAACCTGTAAAAAAGAAAAAAAAAACTTCAAATGTTGTAGTGGTGGAGGATAGCAATATTGATTGATTTCGTTACAGTAATGATAAATTATACATTTAAATTTGTTTCGGACCAGTTCTGTATTAAAAGTTAAACCTTCTAGAAATTATACCTTTATCAGCTAGTTTATCAGTAAAACAAAAGTACTTTATCAGAGATAGATTTTAATTCTTGAAATAGCATAAGGATTTGAAACAGTTATAGATAGCTTACGATAAATGACAAGAGCGTATTCCACGCTTGCAAACATTTACGTTTACCACGAATCGCTTCAGCTTTTGCGATCGATTCTGCTAACGAATCACCAAACTGATCCCACGATGAAGACATGGAATTTTCGCATGTATTACAATGTGTTGCACCCATTAACATACAACGATGCTAAAGCGGAATCTTATTCTTTAGAATTGTGATGTGAAATTCAACAAAACTTAACAATGTTGTTTTTCTAAAATATAACGGAAATGGCAAAAGAAAACGACTAGAAGATCATCGATTAATCGATTGACAAATTGATAAGTATCAATTACTTATCACCAAATGATTGTTTGTAAGTTGACTAGGTTAGGAGAAAAACAATTTAACAGCAAATATTAACAAAATTAGCGAAAAAATTTATAACAACTAATGGCATTGTTGATTATTCCTCAAAAACCGGAAATGATAGAGGAGAAGTGTAGGTGATGGAAATGAAGAATTTGTCTGTACCTGTACAACTTTGGTCGAACTGTGAATTTCCTGCAATGCAAAATCGATAAGCTCTATTAAACTATCTGCATGTTCTTTCACATCGTAACATTTGTAAGATGTGAACCCATCAATAATTGAAGTTTTCCGGAACAGTTCTTTTGCTATTGTATTTTTTGCGATTACGGTCCTGAAAATAGCTGAATAGAAGACAACGAAACTTTTTTAGTATCTTGCTTACAAAATGACCAATGAATGATCATATATTATTTTTATGGTCATTATTATGAATGATTTCCTGAAAAAAGTAAGAAGCAAATAATAGACTAGAAGATTCAGTGATACTGAAATATTACCTCTGTCGTTGTTCTTTGATAATTTAAGGAATTACATCAAGTATAAGGTAAGAGACTTCCCCTCCTTATCCAAACAATTTTACCGTCGTATGTAAAGTAAACAGTATAAGTAAGTTGAGGGAAAACAATGCCTCTTATTTGATACAAGAATGATAAGCCTCAATTTTTGACCTTCAACACTGATCGAAGGAAACGATTTGTTTGGCTAATTTGATAGGAAGTTCTCTTTGAAAAAGTTTCAATAATTAGCTGTAAGCTAAATGAAGTCATGGTAGCGATGTGTTGTAACTTAATGATTAGGCAGTTCATGCTAATATTATTGTTAGACCCACAAAAATGAAGCGTGAATATCGCTGTGGTTGAACTTTTCTCGAAACATTTTAAAACTAAACTGTAATGATTGGAATTTGATTGCATTTTGAAAACGATAAATTTTCACAAAACTATGATATTTTAACTTAATATTTAAAAATCATACCGAAAAACATTGATAAAAAAATTGGGTGAGGAACGTATTCGTTGCCAACTTTGTTGTAGTAAGTGAATTTGATAGCTGAAAACAAAAAATGAAAAAAAAGAAACGAAATTTCATGAGAAAATAAAATGCTTCCCGAAAATACCAGCGAATGTCAACATTATCGGAACGTCGTTTCAATCGTAAATACCATCAATTACTTGAAATTTATCGCTGTGCTCGTTTTTTTCCTTGAAAAGTGATATTGGCTTAGAAAAAAGAAAAAAAAGGGAATGTTTCCTACAGTAATCTAATACGATACCTTGGCCCTTTGTGAAATGTTTTATTGTGTGCGCAAAAATAGCGGAAAAGTCCTATTTTTGAATATATCCTTATTCGATACAAAATACTTTTTAAGACTTTACGCACCGTTCCAATTAATATATTAATGAATCATAGTGATGACATAGACAACGCTCATCCTTCTCCCACTTCCTTCCAAATTTTTTTTTTTCACTTTTAGCTTTGAGGTTCCAGTTTCATCAAATTAGCATGGAATAACTCTAAAAGACATTTACTCAATGGTTCATATAAATATTTCTTTCTGAAACGAAAATGACATAAATCCTCTGTTCTTTTAGGAGAATATTTGTTTATGAAGGGAAATTATCCTTCTAGCATTTTCTAACAGTGATATTTCTACTGAGAATTGTTTGTACCTTTTGCCACAGATAGAAATGAATAAATTTTTATATTTTTTCCGTACTCATAAAATGAATAATATTTAACAATTCAAGGTAACCAATTGATAATGAAAGTAACAGACGATGATTTCATCATTATCAAAACGCAAAAATCTTGAAATTAAATTTGAACTGATCTCTGATAATCAACTCCATGCATTTATTTTCCTTTCCTGTCATTTTATTGCTACCTTTTGCATATAATAGCACAGGTTTACTATTGCATTTACTAAATGAGGATGTAATTTACGACTTGTCAAAAAAAAAAAGATCCGTTATGGTTAAAAAAACACACACAAACATGTATCCGTCATTTCTGTTTCGAAAAGTGAGAGAAGTTATCCAGTTACTAAAAGGAATAGAAAAGATTCCAAATTCTTTTTGAAATTTTGAAGTTTCAAATCATCTGATACAAACCTGGATAGTTGAAGCTGTTCAGCTAAGGTATTCCCCGTATAACCTGTATCAACGAACATTTCCGTAATCAGAGATGTTCGATGACTGGTTGATGGTGAACTTGTTGAAGTTTTATGTCGACCACGTCCTGAGGCGCAATTTGAAGTAACTTCTTCCATTCCAGTGGTAATCGATGCTCGATGCAATTGATGGCTTATATGCTTGGTGCTACAATTATCGCTGCTATTCCTGCAACTATTAAATTATCTTTTGTTAATCTATACATCAACAAAAACACCACAGACAGAGGCATGTAAGTCACATAATATCCATTTTCATCTTTCATTAATTTCACCTTTTCAACAAATTCATTTCTCAAAGTTTGATTTTTCTATTGTTGAAACTTTTGGCGAAAAAGAAAAAGTTTGAGTTGAGAAATTTCTGGAAGCACTATTGGCATACAGTAATCTGATCATCATTTTATTTTAGTTATAGTGAATGAAATCGAACAAAATGTGATTTAGTTTGGGTATTGTGAGGACTTTTGTGTTTCTCCATATTACTCACCCCATAAATTTTACTGAATTTTCCCAAAACAACTTCTGAAGTAGAATCGTTATTGTACAAGTGGAAAATGACTTGAAATAAAAAAAAAACAATGCCTTTCAAAGCTTCCTTTTAAAAGGTTTCCATTTCATGTTTCGTATTTCAATCGGTGGTACATTGTCCAATGTCCGTAATGTTATCACAATGCTTTGGCTGTTATTGCTTGATCTTATCGTATCATACAGAGATTTGTCACCATACATCAATAATTTACGTTGTCAACTTATTATTTCCACTGATCACGAGCACAGTGGATAATTATTACTTTGTTATATCTTATTTCAGTAATTCATACGTAACAATTTACTGAGTGTGATGCTGAAGGTAGGATGAATTTTGAAGCTGAATTGACGATTGATCGTTTAGATATTCGATGTAATGCCGTTGAATTTGAGAGTCGCTGAAGTTTTGGATAAATTTTGGTCGTACGATACCCGAGCCATAGCTAGAGCGACGGCCAGAAGTTTTGTGATTGCCAGTGGAAGAATGAATTTTCGCGATCTACAAAAAGAAACTACTCACAAATTTTAGTATATCATACTTAAGTAAGCGAGTAAGTATGATGAATAAGAGTTAATTGGTTTGCTTCAAATTTACAACAAGAGAGGTGACATAATATTTGAACAAATTAAAATATAACATTTGAGCAATACTCGTTCTCTAACTTCTTTGATATGAGCATACGAATGTAATATTTAACTAAACTTATAGTTTCATTTATCATCACAATCTAATATCATTAGCTTAGCAGTAACAAATAGGTTAAGAGAGAGAGAGAGGGAGAGAGAGAGAGGAGGGAAGGAAGA